TCAAAACTTCAAAGGTGATGTGCGACCAACATTCTCCACCAGGTGATTTATGTGGTCTCGAAACTCCTCATCAGACATCCTACATGAACTAAAATCGACATTCGAAAACTTCATAGAGTCGTGCCACATCTTGATCTGACTACTCTTAGACTTTTCCTAACCCGATCCTACTTCAGTTATTTATTATTATTTCTTTCTTTCACTTGGGTTCTTAATGGAACAAACGGCTTCAGTAGCACATCTCCACTGCACTCTGTCCTCTGCAATCTTTTGAACCTGGCTCCACAACAGCCCACAAGCTCTCACTTCTTCCTCGCACGATCTCCTCCATGTCACCCTCAGCTGGGACACCCAACTCGTCGTTTCCCATCTGCGTTCCACTCAACGACCTGGCCTGACGCGTGATGTCCCCAGCCGGCCTTCTCAGTATATGCCCGATCCAATCCATCTCCACTTGTTAGGTGATAGGTTCTTGGTTGGTTCGTTACCAGAGTTCCTTGTTGCTGATTCTTTCTGGCCATCTGAACTTCAGTAACGAGCCAGCTTTGGCAGTTCTTGATGAATGTCTGTAATTTGTTGCAAATCCCTTTCGTAATGCACCAAGTCTCTGAGCCATACAGAAGCACTGATTTGATGCTGGTGTTGAAAATCCAGACCTTGTTCCACATGCTGAGTGCAGAAGATCTCCACACTGGTTTCAGCTTAATGAACGCCTGTATTGCTTTTCCGATCCTGGCTGGCTTTCACGTCCTCGTCTGTGCCACCGCCGCCTGTAGTTGAAACGGTGCTGCCTAGACAGGTGAAAGAGGCTAATTCCTTTCAGTTTCTCCCGTTGATGGTGATTGGGGCTTGTTGTTGCTGTTGTTCGTGGTGGTGTTGGTTGGGTATCTTCGTCACCTCTGTCTTCTCTACGTTCACTGAAGTCCCATCTTCCCTCGCTGCCCTACATCTTCTGTCAACTTGTTAGTTTTCGCCTGTACATCTTCAAGTTTGTGTGACAGTAGACATAAGTCATCATCGGCGAAATCCGAATCTCCTAGGTTCTTTCCCCGGTCCAGCCAGCGTATCCCCTCTTCTCCCACCTCACTGTTTGTTGCATGATCCAGTCCACTACAATCAGGAATATCATGGGTGATAGTAGACAGCCTTCTTCTACTCCTGTCTTCACTTCAAAAGCATCACTGAGCTTCCCATTGTGAATTACTCGGCATGTGGCGTCTTCATATAGTTGCTGAATCAGATTGATAAAGGTTTGTGGTATTCCGTAGTGTTGAAGCAACTGCCTGCCAAATTACTTCTCGGTCGACGCTGTCAAAAACCTTTTCAAAGTCGATGAAGTTGAGGTAGAGCGTTGACTGCCACTCTATACTCTGTTCTATGATGATGCGAAGCTTTGCAATTTGGTCTGCACATGATTTGTACTTCCTGAAGGCAGCCAGCCTGTTCGGGTGGTAATTTTGAATCCAGTGCATCCTTCAGTCTCTCCAGGATTATGTGGGGTGGACAGGAGTATGGTTCCGCCCGAGTTCTTGCAGAGACTTAGGCCGCCTTTCTTCAGGAGTTTGACAAGGTAGCCCTTCTCCCAATCACTTGACAGGTACCTTTGCTTCTTGCCTTCCAAACCTTCTGCAATAGTGATGTGAGCATGTCCGCTGTTGTCTCTGCGTCTGCTCTCAGTGCTCCTGGTGGGATTCCATCTCGTCCTGCTGCCTTCCCTCATTTCAGTAGCTTTATGGCGTTCAGGACTCTGACTTCTGTTGGAGGATTTGTGTTCACTTATAGTTTTGTGGCTGTAGGTGGTATTTCTGGATGAAGTGCAGGTGGTGGTGGTGGTGATAGATCCAAGAGCTTCTTGAAGTGGTCGGCCCATTGTTTCCTTTGTTTTTCTTCTTGAGTAATTCAATTTCGTTTATCATCTTTTATTGATTTCATCTGTGTTGATCTCTTCCCTCCCAGATAGTAACCTGGTTATTTCATACAATGTTGTCAGGTCTCTTTCTCGCCTACCTGCAGCCTGTTCTGCTTCACTTGCCAGTGTGTCGTAGAAGTGTTTTTTGTCTTTGCGCGCATTCTTCTTCATTTCTTTGTCTAGTGTTTTATACGTCGCACTCAGTTCCTCTTCTCGCTGTTCATCCTTGCACTGGTTTATCTTCTGCTTCATCATCTTCCTCTCCCTGCTCTATCAGTTCCATGTGTCCGTCGAGATCCACTTCTTATCTTCTTTCTTCTTCATTCCTAATATGTTTATGCAGGTTTCTGTCTACATAGCTTTCAAAGAGTTCCAGTGCTCATCAACACAGGTTTCTTCAGGGATGTTCCTCGATATCTCTCATTTTGTCTTGATGGCTGACGTGAAGATGTCCTTTGTAGTTTCGTCCTTCAGTTCAGTTTCTGTTGTGAGTGTTGAACTTGAACTGTGGTCTATCCACAACTTCGTTGAAGGCTTTCAACTTGCCGGTGTGTTATGGTACACATTATTCATTATCTATATTACCTTATTGGAGAGTAGATATCTTTCTCATCACAAGGGGACAAGTACTGAATTAAATGAAGCACATATCTTCGGCCTCTATTATGTTGCACGTATTATACCTTCCCGAGTTCGAGTCCTAGTGGGGACAATGCGCTCAGTGGGAGGCAGGTACATCCAGACAATGAGTCTCAAATAGGACGAAACGCTCGTCCTGGATTCCACTGCTAGCCACTGTTCATGAATATTATCTTTGGTTTTATTGCGAGAAACTGTTTTAAATAAGAATAAAATTTGAATGTAAAATGATATTCAGACCTCTGCATAAGGACCTAATATACTAAGATGAACTGCTCAATTCGGTCTTGAAAATCAACAGTTAGATAAATTAGGCTCAAGTAACAACTTGAACCTTTTGAACTTAAAGCGATTATTGTAACTACATATAGTGAATGATTTCCTACTTTTGGAAATGTTAGCTGTTGGACTCCAGTTGGAAAACCAGCACGAATGTAGGTACATCCAGCTAAGGGGTCCTAAAATAGATGCAACAACCATCCTGGTTTCCACAGCTAGATATTCTTTTTAGAAGAGCAAAATTTATGTATCCAATGAATCAATAATAGTTTAGAAAAGTGGGACAAAGAGAAATTTGGATTTGTAATTTGGGGTATATAGAACAGAAAATAAAAAGATAACGTAGATTGATACCAGAGAATAAGGTTAAAACATGTTGCATTGTGGCTATCGTAATTGATAATAATAATAATAATAATAATAATAATAATAATAATAATAATAATAATAATAATAATAATGGTAATCATAAAAAAAGAGGAGGAGTTTAGAATCTTGGTAAACTGTTTTACTCCTTAAGGAGTTTGGAAGGCTATTTTTCATTAGTCCCCCCCACCTATAAGTGAGTTTTTCTATCAAACGCTGGTTACTGATAAACTTCCGGCTTATTCGAGTAGATAAGCTTCTTCAAATTACACGTTTTGATATCTACAAAATGCTAAATTTGAATGGTGGAGATCAGTTGAAATTCTTAACTTCTGTTGTTTAAAAAGTTCATATTTCCCTAACATCTTTTTACCTGTTGAACAGATAAAGTGTAATAGACTATCCTTTTCTTTAATTATCTCATGGAAACAATTGTTTACCTTAAGAAACTAGTTACGAACCGAATTCGTCCAGAATAAATTTGGTTGATACGATAGCTGATCCATAAGTATCCAGTGTAACACAATCATAAATATAAAGTGAAGGTTTGGCTACTTGACTAAGGCTTTCGATTTCTAAGCGCAATGTACCATGGGTTGAAATCCCATTCCACCCACTCCGTCCTGATTACTCCGTCGGTGTCATGTTAATACAGTTGTTTCTTATTGACAACTGCACTTCACATTTGTGTACACTAGACGATGAATTACGCCTTATGTGAGGGACGGGAGAAAGAGGGCTGGTAGTACTTACTGCATTTTTGCCGAAGCTGAACCAAGTGAACACCGACTAAAATAGCCGTAAGCCATTTTGCTAACCCATTTTTTTACTGAAGGGAATCATGTTGATGGACTTCGTGTTTCGCACTTCATATTTTGGAATCCTGGCTAACCATTTTGTAATTAGAATTCATTAACAGTTGGATATGCTACAATGGTAAATTATAACTGAAAATATAACTCTGACTCTCATGTGATTGTGGGGTTCTATACTCCTCACTGTTTGAATGTGATTACACTTGTGTGTCTTTTTTCCATGCGTATGAGTTGCCAGCTGAAGTGGTCCTGAGATGAGGTGTTTGCAAACCCTTTACTGTCAGTTCCCTTCAGTAGACTTATAGGTAATGAGTTTAAACATCTGAATGACACGTTCACAACATACAAATTACAAATATAGGAAAATCTATTTATTCAGCAAAATCAAGAAACTATTACCGTTACTAAACGATTACTCTTCAACTAAACAGTGTGAAACAACAGTTAAGTAGTCAGAGAATAGCTTTCAAAATCGTTATAGAATATTTCGAAGCTTCGCTAGTCAAAACCCTGACATCGTAGGTTATAGAAATGCTGCGCTTTTAAAGCGTGTGAACTGAACCCCTAGTAAGATTATTCATACAGCGACACCACCCAGCGTGGTAAGTCTGAGCTTTTGATTGAAGGTTCCAGGTAACAAATAATACAGCAGTTAATACTATATGATGCATTTTGCTCGTTGGAAGCAAATAGTGGAGAACAGATATCAGTTTCTGTCTGATTTAGGACTTGTTACTAGGATGAACCTGCATCCCAGTGTGTGACAATCTTTCTACTCGGAGCAAAAGGGGCCGATTGATTCGGTTCGTAATAATAACAGTTAGTGGGATATTGCATTTACCGTTAAATAGTTTTAAATGATGATGCACTATTTTACATGGGAATGGATAAATGTATGTTTATGATGAATAAGAAGACAGTCAATGCTGCATTCTCTACTTTAAAAGAAGCTTGTTTAAAAAGCAAACAGTATTTAGCTTGACTTACGTTACCTGAGCAATCCAGCTTCTGTTTCTGCAATGACTTGCAACTCAGTTCTGCGTCTAAATGATGAGAACACGACGCCGTAACTAGAATATTCAAGAGTATGGCTGATTCGACCAAAAGCACCTCCCGCCAATTCCAAATGCTTAAAAACCAGGCTAGAAGATAATTTGATGCAAACGCGCCAACACCTGAACCACACATAGTAATACCCACAGTTATCCCAAAGCTGAATGTAAAAAAATAACAGCAAAAATTCATATAAATATTCTTATGGGCACCACATAGCTGAAAAAAGAAGTGCTCTTCGACCTCAAAAACCCACATAAAATCACAATGAGAATCTTAGAAAGTTAACAAGCTAACAAATTTGAAATCAACAGAAGAGCGTAATCACTTCCTAGTAAACTTTCACTTTGATAGAAGCATCCCAGAGAACTCCGTAAGTTCATTAACAGAAAGACAATGTTACTGAAATGTAAACCATCTTGTAACGAGCTTAAAAACTGTCAAGTGGATTGCTGAATCTCAGTTATTATCTAAAATTCCAAATATATGTATATAGATTAGTAATTATATTTAAGTGATATCTTCACCATGTTATACATTTCCTCACTTATGTCTAAACTAGAAAACTGTGCATAGGCGGTAAATCCTTTCCTGAAAGGTGACGCAGACCTTTTAGAAAGAGTTCAGAGGGCAGCCACTCGTATGATCCCTGAGGTGGCTGGCATGACTCAAGAAGATTGACTTAGCAAGCTAAATCTCTTTTCTTTATCCTGTCGTAGACAGAGAGGAGATCTAATAGTGCTAAACAAGATCCTAAGAAATGACTTCGGACCTGATCTATCTTCTCTTTTCCTTCCCACTAGGTCGGGACACCTCAGAGGACATAATAGGAGGCTACAAAAGCAAAGAACGAACATAGTCTCCGTAGAGTACTGGTTCTCGCGTCACCTACTGGGATTGACTGCCAGAAGAGGTGATGTCCGCGCCATCGGTTCACTCGTTCAAAAGAGGACTGGACAAGCACAGATCTACTGTGAAAGGACTAATATAAGCTCATAGCCTTCTATCTTCAAACGACAAATCTGAATTCTCTACTGCTACAATCTCTGAAACCATGGGGATGAAAACCAGCAGATATGATAGGATTTAGTTATGGAGGATAATGTAACATTAAGAATCAAAACTCTAAAACAAAGAATCGGAAATTGGTTGTCACAACCACAGTGATTTGATAACGAGACAACAGTAAGTATAACAATGTGTTTGTTGAAAAACGGTCCGAACAGAAAGTTAGAAATACTACCCTTCTGTAAACTATCATGAACTGAGCCATCTTAACAACCATCTCTAACAGAATCGTTGGAGTTACTTAGACTACATTATTTGTTACATAAAAAACCGATAAAGCTGGGATAATTTAATGAAGCAGCCTATATTTTTGCAGTCTCTTTGCATCTCCTATTTAGACCTGTAAACGATAAAAATACTGTTCAACTATAGCATTCAATCTAATAGTACAAAACTGAAAAAAGTATATGCCATCGAGATTAAACTTTGAATGCAGCTGATCCTGTTAATTAAAATAAGAAGTGTTTCATGTCACACATTCTATTTAGGTAGATGTGACTTTAAAATCTACGCAATTAAACCAAATATTAAGATATGTAGACAATGTAGAAAATATTCAATTTTCCGAAAAGTAGATGATAACAATGGAAAGTGAATATACAATGAAGGAATGCGAAAATGTGATTGATTTATTCACTAGAGAACATGTAATCTTATAATTGTGAATTGTTGATGAACAATAATAATAAACAATTAGCAAGCAGAAAACTAAATCAGTGTTAGAATGAATGATTTTTAGAAGGCTTATTGAATGGGAATCTATGAGTGAAGGTAAGTGAATAGACAGAAAAAAAACTCTACAGTAATGTTCAATGTGTCGCGTTGCCATGCTTCAGGAAAGAAAAACTAACTAGGCAGAAGTAGAAACAGAACAAAAACGAACATGGTGGCAGAAATGCGAAGAGAATGAACAAGTGAATGAAGATTCCTGAGTTCCTCATACTTTAAAAAATAAGCAGTGAATATATTTACAGCACTGCGATAATTTCAAAGCTTTTTCATCAAGAGTCTCGAATCATTATTTTTTCATATCTCCAAAATCAAAATGTTAATGATTGCTTACGACTAATAAACGCCAAGCTATCCAAATCATTTACTGGTGATGAAGTGAACTGAACTAGCTAAAAAATATGCCTGAAGTGGTCAATCACAACATTCCTCTTAAACACTAACCTGTGTAACCTAACCTACTTCAGTGTAATACAATTACTTAACATTATGCATAATTGATTAAAGCCTATCCTTTTTTTACTACTGAGATCAATAAACTGCAAACGTCTGTTGAAATGTTGGGTATTTGAAGATGGTAATCGCATTTATGTACCGCCCCCTATTATGTCAATATTTATTTTTACAGCTTTTATTATCAGACTGTGGCTTTTTCAGTCATGAACCATAAAAGTTATGTACTAGCCGAACACATTTTTCGGTTGTGTTTTATTGACTTAATGGTGATCAGTGACCTATTCTTTCATCACTTATATATACTGTTTGAAATTGAATGTTATCATCAGTGACTGCAAACAACAGTTACTTTGCTAATGTTAGTTTTTCACTTGTTCCTTATTGTTGCCATATATTGTTGTCAACTAACTTATTAATGTTAGAAACAATTAGTCCCTTTAATAAATTTCGATAACGCTATTAAAAGACGAAGATTATCTGAAAAATGTGATGTATTTGCGCAGTACATTTCGAACAATCTGGTCACACATTTACTTGTCAAGTTAATTTATATATATGTTTACCAATTTACATGTATTGTGTGGGCATACATACATACGAGGGAGTAATCGTTCAATGACAGACATCCATCGTCATCCATAGCAAAACATATCATTGAAATGAATCACAAGGTTAATACGAAAACAGCCTTCAAGATATTATATAGGAATAATCAGGGGCGCATACTGAAGTTTGCCGAAGCGTTAGCCATTCGTAAACTTAAGTCCCCGCTGTGGGTACAAAAACGATTTGTTGTTTTACTTAATTTACCTTGGTAATCTTTATTTGATTATATTACCAAGATTAGTGTCACAACCTTTTCATATTTATTATATTTGGCCTTTAATTTTTTTCATTTTCATATATAAATTGACTTGACAAGTAAATGTGTGATCAGATTGTTCGAAATGTATTGCGCAAATACATCACATTTTTCAGATAATCTTCGTCTTCTAATAGCGTTACCGAAATTTATCAATGTTAACAGGTTTATTTTACTTATGATCTATTTGAGTGTGAATTTTAAAAGTTCTTAAGTATGTTGATGCACAGTTGTATGCAGATAGATTTAAATATCTCGCTGTAAACAACTTTAATACGGTTTCCTACTTGATATGGATACTGAAGACGGAAATTCTTTGAATCACAACTTCCTTATTATTAAATTATGCGGAGAAAATTCAGACGCAAAAGTAATACGGATTGGCCACCATTGAGTAACCAATATGGTCGTTCAGCATTGGCTGATGGGTTTCCATCTAGTTTCAAATGCGGTCTCGAAGCTAAATGACACAGCACTGTAACTGACTGTATTTCCATATTAGATGTTATGATTTGATAGATGGGGAGCCCAAAACCTAGATGACATGTTCATCGACATTCATCAGTAAGGCATGTTTGTCAATATAAAGAAACTGGTGTTCCTTTGGTGACAGCCTGATTTAATCTAGATGCGACTAATCTTTGAACTTAATTTCTGTATTTTGTATTCTGAAAACCACTTGATTTTGATGCATCATAAAAATCCATTTTCATCAAAACATTACTGCAGAAGAACAAACCAGATTATCTGTATTACACTGTCTAGTCTTAAGTGTGGTGCGTAATCGGAAGCATTGTAATTATAAAGCATAAAATTCAAAAAAGTTTATTCTTCCTTTTCACTTTGATTTATGTACACAGACACAAAAAAAGTTGAATACTCTATCAAAATTGTTAGAGAGAGAAGCTTTGACAACCAACTAGTACAGAGTACTCAGTAAAAATTCAATACGCCTAATGAGAAGACTTAAGTTTAAGAAACTCGAGAAAAATCCCTGAGTATGTTAGGATTTAGCTACTTTTTCTCAATTGTGGGACTCATTAATTATAATGAAATATAACCTCTATCAGCACTAAATTACATATTCTTATCTCTGATAGCCAATGTGCTAACCTTCAAACAAGCGAATCAGTGGTGTAGATCACAATGGTAGCAAAAACTCACTCATTATATTATATCAGTATTTTCTCTTTCACTTTGATATCACTGCCTTACATATCCTTTTGATTTCATCTATGCACTGTTGTACAGTTAGTTCTACACTGATATCTACGTGTCAGTTAAAAAAGCACGAAACAGAATCCCATTGATCGCAAACATTTGCGAACTTTTTAAATAGTTAGTTTGCGATAAGAACACTTCATTCCATTGAAGTCATAAATCCATTTCACCGTTAATATCATCATTGTCATTATTATCATTACTATGCATACTTTCTGTCCGATTCATGGTACTTTTCTAGTAACTACGTCGATACGTTTGTGATAGATAATTTCTGCATAAAAACTGATAGGCTGAAGGGTTTAGAAGACCATTTTTGAACTGAAATACGTCCATATATCACAGCCGAATACTATTTTACTACAAAGCATTAATTGGTAGCAGCGCAGTGTTAGGTGTATAAATCATCTTTAGCACAAAGATATATTCTTGAATTTGACTTGATAGTAACCGACCTACGTGCATGATGTAAGTGATTCAATTACATAAGAGGTTAGTCATAGACTGAATAAATCATTGGTAAACCTTTTCGCCTTTAGAATGAATGACACAAACCTAAATCATGGTTGGTTATATGCCTTCAAAATTGATATCAACAAGAATTTAATGTATTTTCACGGATTCAAGTCGACTGGTTCCTGACATCAAATAAATGAAAATCCGCTTCCGAAACAATGTTGTCACTAAAAACAAATCATTTGAAGTATTTAGTTTAGTCATCTTTTTCATATTACATCAACTCTTTTGGCAGAGAGACAGAATGAAAACAGAATAAACTAAATGAAACATATACATGGTTTTTTGTGTTACCGCTACTATCTAATCCCGGCAAACTTGTACATCTTATGGTGAGAAGATTTACAACTTTCACTGGGGTTCTGTCTTTGCAGCAGGATAATTTAATCCTAAATGCATCTTTCTTTTCATATTTTGTACCGATGGTTTTGTTTAAAATGGTAATAAAAGTCTTATGATTTCACTGTCGAACTCAGAAAATGCAAATTTACAAAATTAATCTCACATACATATAGTTTGAAATAATCACCACCTTTCCTCAACGAAGTTAACTTATCCGACGACAACTTAAAGGTGAATGCATTTATTAACAGATGAATATCGTTTAACATGAACAACATACTTCATGCATATGACTTCTGAACGTTTTGCAGGACAAAGACTATTTTTGAAAGTGACTACCTGAGAAATAAATGAGGTAATTTTATTCTGCTTCATTCCAATAGATAGACTACATTACAGACTATAAGAAAAGTTAAATCCAAATGTTAATCTAGTTAAGCTGACATTTTGAGTAGTGGTCAGATATCCACAACTACAGTGAATCTAATTAATATCGACTCCAGAATTAAAATATGACCTGAAAGAAATAAGTTGAGGAGTCGATAAATCGATTAAAAATGAAATATATTTGTAAGTCGCAATTAAGTAGGAAAATGAATTTCTGACGCTTCTTGACCTCGTGAATGTCACTTCTTCAGAGGAGAAAACCGGTACAAGCTATTGATTACTTAAATAGTAAGTAGAGACAAGTTAGATCACATTGTTCATGCATGACAATAATGTGACAATAAATGTTACCGTTATCAGTTCGTGAGTTCACAGTAGAAATGTGAATGGATGTGAAGGTGTGAGAAAGTAATATAAAAGAGAAATTCAGTTTGTGTGTATATCTGCTTTAGTTATGATTAGTGTGTAACGTGCTACTTAGGACATACTGCCTATGCTGGTTGGATAGTTAAGCCTTCCTTTCTGTCGGGGTCATTAGGATTTAATATAATATGAAATGTCCCAGCTATCTGTCATTACTTTAAGTTTGAAAATTCTTTTCGAATAATATTAATATTATCAGAGTTACTTTGGTGGTTATGAAAGGTGGCATGAACAGAAATCTCTGATTTTATCTGTAAATTTGTTTCCAGTTCCACAAGATTATTTAAAGGTCGTTTTGTGTAGCGTGCACGTTCTTTGGCAAAAATGGGATTTCACTGGATGCTTCCCCAATATAATAAGCACCATAATCAATCCAGCCCAATTTGTAGACACAGTTCCGTGTGGAGGTGAACAATATTTTTTTCAGTTAGATCTTCTTTAGGCTTTACTCTAGTACAAAGAGCTTAATATGTATAAAAATTAAACAAATCATGTAGATTTGTCGGTTAACGTGATGTGTTTTAAAACAGCCATGGTGATAATAGTTCAAATAATAAAAATGATAACGCTGACATCTCTCACCGCTTCTTTGGCCAAGGAATACTGGTTCAAATCCCGCCGAGGCCCAAATTTTAAATTTACCTTCAATCATCGCCCATTATCAATACTAGTATGCCAAACCATGGCCATCTCAGATAGTCAAAATGTTAACCAATATGATGCTCCCCTCCCTAACCCAGTCAGATTTAGATTGGGATGAGAAGTCGTGACTGGGCAGACAGTGTGAATACGACCAAGAGGTACTGACATATCACAAATTCACATGGTAGTGGGGCAAAACCCTTAGTCGTTGAGGTGAAATTAAAATCTGATCAATGGTTGTGCCTCGTAGCTCAGTTGGTAGGTAGAGCATCAGGTCGGAAACCCAGAGTCCCGCGACGGCCAAAATTTTCTTTCAGCTTCAATCATCACCCAGTATCAAAACTTAATAAACAACTTTATCATTGAAATCCCTCTCATCCTTTCCTTCTTCACTCCTCTCATATGCTTACTATATTTATTTGTTTCGACTTTGTCTATCCGCTTACTTCGACCTTCAACATTAAGTAACTTTTATTTTTCTAATCTTTTGACTTGCTTTGATTATCGGAGCGTCTACATTTGCATGCTGTTTTCTTGGTTCTTATCACGATTATCATCTATATTGAAACTACTTTATTCATGTAATCATTTTTATCATCGTTATTTTGAAACATTACATTAACTGAAAAACCCATATGATTGGTTTAATCTGTCATAGCCAGGGAACTGACATTAAAGATATTTAAATTCCTTTTTTATATTACTTTCTCACACCTTCACATCCATTCACATTTCTACTGTGAACTCACGAACTGATAACGGTAACATTTATTGTCACATTATTGTCATGCATGAACAATGTGATCTAACTTGTCTCTACTTACTATTTAAGTAATCAATAGCTTGTACCGGTTTTCTCCTCTGAAGAAGTGGCATTCACGAGGTCAAGAAGCGTCAGAAATTCATTTTTCTACTTAATTGAGATTTACAAATATAGTTCATGATATTCATAGGACAGTAATCTCCTCATGGATTAAGCAGGTGATTATGTGCCCATAGATTTACTCTTGAATCCTGAAGTTCTATCACAATCAGATTTAAATTGACATATTTTTTAACAGTTGAAGACTCACACGTTAGTCTAAGATGTTTATATGAAGACAAGCGTTTTATTCAAATCAAATTTCTTATGAATCATTAAGTAATGAGGATGCTGAAATTATCACGATCAAAAGTACTTCGTGCTGAAATAATCAAATTCATCTAATCATAAAAAAGTTAAACTTCAACTTACAATGAGCTGTTTTCAAACTGAGCAGTAACTGACATCAGCGCAGACAGATAAGTTAACTGAAGTCCTATACTTGTCAGTATACCCAGAGTAAAGTACAAAACATGAAAGCTTTTTGCAAATGATGATGCTAGAATAATGCAAGACATTAACTTGAATACAAACACCTGACTTACTAAAGCATCCAATCCACAGTAAAACCGCACCCCATGCAGAACCTGATGAAAATCCATACGTATCCAATAATGGGCATAGAAAAGGTGCAAAAAATTGGGGCATAGCATATATCATGCCCGGCAGGATAGCTGTTTCAGCACTACTTAGCTGAAAGGCATTCATTAACTCTGAGTATAATAAACCCATTGAATAAGTATATCCATCAGCCAACATATACGAAACAAATCCACCAAAAATTATCAAGAATTTCTGAAATTTGTTCATACTATTTTGTGATGTAATAAGTATTCCTGTCAACTATAATCAAATTTCAGGTGGAAGCACCAGTATTTCCAGTAATCTAATCTATTAAAGCAAAATTTAATTTTCTTTATAGATAACGAATTTGAAAAGGACGATTTTTAACATAAATAGCAGTGACCACGAGCAACAATACTTGAACAAAAACCAAATCACCATTCATCATCAAAAATATAGTCCTTATAGATCAAATACTACAGTTTCACAATAAATTATGTGGTTAGTTTTTTAGACGGAAACAGCCTTTCAATTTCCCTTCGAACAAACTGTCTAACAGTCGTTTTCTACCTAGTAAGCGCAAAATACTAATCATGTACCAACGCAAATGGCTTGGTTTTAAAGTTATATTAAACTGTTGCGCTTCCTTTGCATATTCTAGTAGAGATTTCCATTGAGGAAAAAGCTAAGTGCAACCTTTCCTAAATATTACGCTACAGTCCATGTAAATTTACAACCACATTGAATAACCTTTCACGTTTTAAACCTTGTGCCTAACGTCTTTATTAAACAAACTCCAAAAGGAAAAGAGTTTACCTTCATTCAGAAAGCTTACTGTGCAAAGTAGAAAGAGATATTTAGACACATATCAAATTGTAACCAACAATTAATAAGCCAGACAAACAAATAACGTTTCCGTTTGGGGAAGTAACTGTTGACAAACACACCGACAGACAACACCAAAGCAGAACCTCGTACAGAAGTGTATCAGTTCAGGTTGCCGCACGTTACAAACTGATATCATGGTAGACAAAGTTGTGTTGGAGAACAAGCAGTTTGAAGATAAAGGTTATTGCGAATATTCAAGCTTCAGAAGACGTCAAGAAATGAGTACATTTACGCCACTGCGACCGATTTCCAGGCATGTCACCAAAATTCTTCAATCACTTATTCCAACCGTCTAATTGAGATAACTTTCGATTAAAGTAAGAAGAAAACCTTTAAGGTGAATTTCTTCAGCTATTCATCTACTAGATTGAAGTGATTGCTTCTCAGTGTGAGCAGCATGTGATACACTTTCACTAGTGCTCCTTTTGGTGAAAAATATTTTATTTGGTTTCTCGGAATTCCACTTGTATGTCGGCTGTTCATATATCAAGTCCAGGTTAAACACCAGAGAAATGTTCAAATCAAGCTGTCATAAAAGTGCTTGTGGTGGGCCAGGGTTTATCGTTACAGTGGTATCTGGCATGCAATGTAATGAGTGCAGATGGTTGTGCAACAAAAACTGTACGAGCCTCACGCCTGAAGTATACAGGAAGTATAGCAATGCATAGAGTATTTGAACTTCCCTCTCGTGTTGCTCGGGACATTCGTTGGTTATCCAGGAAGCTAAATCACCGACGGAAACTGCCACGCAGAAGTTGGTGTCCCAACAAAAGCTAATGGTTGAGAAAGCTGTGAAGAAACTGCATCTGTTGACACACAGGTCACTGTGCAGAATACTAAGCATCTGCTGCGGCAGACTGGAAGCAGGATAAGAAAACTGCTTGCGAGGTATGATGTGAATTACTTTGAAAAGGCTAAGCACTGCAAGACATCCCAGAGCCAGCAAACCTAGCATGAAAACTGCCGGTTGTAAAACTAGCCCAGCTTCCGACGAAAGGGACTCAGACAGAGAACTGTCAGTGCCGCCTAAAAAAAGTATGCCACCCGCAGGTTGCCCCAGTGTAATGACCCAATTTTTGCGTAGGGAGAGTCCGGAAAGAGAAGCGATACCTCTTTGTCATTTCTGCCTATGCTCCAACAGATTGCAGCCCGGACCCAACCAAGGATGAATTCCATCATCAACTGAGTGGACTTCTCAACCAAGTACGCTCGACAGATATCGTAGCACCAGTTGGGGACTTGAATGAAGAGGTCGAGCGTCTGGGCTCACAAAAGAGTCATTTAGGTGACCAGTAGGGATTAGATGGCCGCAAGTTGGATAACAGGGATTGTATTCTACAGGTTTGTGTAGATCATAACCTATTTCTAGCTAGCAACAACTTCCGATACAACCATCGCCGTTGTGTTACTTGGCGCCCTCCATCTGCCACTTAAGCCTGGACTCAAGTAGATCATATTGCAATCATATACCGATGGTATAGGTCCATATAGGACTGCCGTCCCATATGGAGTACTTGTCTGGATTCTAGTCATGCTTCAGTGTGTTCTAAGCTCGTCTTGTGGCTTGGTGGTGATCAAAGTCGTCGCCCTAAACAGGTCGACGCAAGCAAATTAGTTGCAGCTTACATTGCAGCTAAATACCAGTCCGAGCTAGGTTTGAGGCTAACTACTGATTCTTTAGAAGTGTAGACGAGCATTGGCAAGACCCCATGAAATAGGTGAGTAAAGTCTCTTGAGGCTTTGAAGAACATCCCGTTAATAAAACTGGATCTCTGTGAGCTCCCTGAAACTACTTGACGGCCGTCAGACCATTTCAGTGGATACTGAGTACAACAGTTGGCATAGGTCTCTTGCGCGAAAGATTGCACAACGCCCACGCAAGGACCGTGAGGTTTGGTGGTCAGATTGTGCGAGTGAGATGGAAGCAGCAGCTGCACCTGGCAATAGTCAGGAGCTGTTCCAGCTCATCCGAGACAGTGGCAACAAGAAGCCTGATGTCAGTGAGAAAGTCTGTGGGGTAGATGGCACGCCGATAAAAAACCTTCAAAGACGTCTTGACTGCTGGGCGGAGCACTTCGAAAATCAGTTTGGCTGGGTCACTGCTCCAGCATCTTCAGTTTCAGTGTATCGTGCTCTACAGTCAGTTAACACTGACCCACCTAACGAAGTAAAGGTTCATAAAGAACTCCAAGTTTTGGAATGCCCCAAGGTACCCGGCCAAGACAACTTATCCCCGACTTTTTTTAAGGATGGAGGCACGCTGTTTGGAGAGGGGAGTGACTTTTCATATTCAGCTAAATTCTTGTCATTTTCTGTGTTTGCATATCAAAGACCGTTGTATTTTTTACTCCAATCGGAATATTATTTGACTAAAGTGAGACAGGAACTTTTACTGGGTGAAATTCTGTAGTTTCTGTTATATGGTGAGCCAAAAGTGTCGTAAAAATGCTTGTGGTAGGGCCGGGTGCCACCTTACGGTGGCCTCTGGTATGCAGTGTAGCGAATGTAAGAGTTGGTTCCACGATAACTGCACAAGCCTCACACCCTCAGCATATAAGAGGTACAGCAACGCAGGAAGTGTCTGGCTTTCTACGTTGTGCTGCTCGGGTATTCGCACTCTAGTGGAAGCAGCGAAAGTACTTCTAAATACGATAAATAAGAAACTGTCGTCGAAAGTCAAAGCCGATAACTGCGACAGTGATACGACACAGCATCCATTGGCACAGGTTGCTGTGCAAACTTTTAATAACATCCCACGACAGGCTGTAAGTCGGGCGCGTAGACTACCTACTAGGTTAGCTGACAGCGACTTGGTATAAACTACACCAAGCAGGGTGGAGCGAGTATCTTCTGGATTTCACATTCCCAGAGCTGGCAGATCCAGTCTTAAAACTGCTGACCGTAAGACTAGGTCTACTTCAGATGAAAGAACAGTAGTGAAGCGCTCTCAGTTCCAACGACGGAACCATGCAGACCGCAGGTCATGCCCAGTTCGGAGACCCAATCGTTCATGAAGATGACACAGAATGGGATGCAAGTCCGTTCTGAGGCTCTCAGTGCCAAGACCACTGGACTAGGCTTCAGTAAACCTTGTATATCCAACTCTGAAAAATAGCAAGTAACTAGGCCTAAAAGGCATGCTAAGAAGCCAATAACGGCAACCGAACTGGCTATAATCACTCCACATAGCAAAGACAAAGTAGAGCTCCTTGACAGGTCCGTAATCTCCCAAAGAGTGGAAGAAAGCAGAGACCCAGAACCATGTAAACGTTTCGAACATGGCCTTGGAAAGGTACAAAGTTTGATAAACCAGCCTTTACCAGAAAACATGCCAGGAGCCACCCTACTCAAGATATATGGAGGAAGAAAACAGGAAACAATCATTACTGAAAATAAGTTTCGGACACTTAAAGTCATGTTCAAGTCAACAGGTGAGAGGAATCATATTCTGAAGAATGCTCACAGACTTCAAGGATCTAAAGTGTTCGTGTGAAAGAATCTGGTTCTTGCTGATCAAATCAAAAAACGAGAAGCAGAAGCAGAACTAAAATCCAGATTAGCAGTTGGAGAGCAAGATCTGAAAGTGGTGGGTTTTCGTGTAGTGAAGTTTCGGCAACAAATGATGCCGAAGCCTTTATGGATAGGACGGAAACTCATTTAAGTGGTTTCATCGTCTTGTACACAAATGCATGTACTCTTTTAAACAAGTGGACTGAGCTTAGTAATATGATCAGCAACGAAAGCCCTGATATCATTTCTATCTCAGAAACTTGGTTCTCTTCATGGATCAGTGACTGTGAAACACGCTTACGAGGATTCGTCTCTTTTAGAAGTGATAGGTTAGCACGCAAACGTGGTGGTGTCATCCCTTACGTTAAGAATAACTTAACTGTAAAAGCCATGAAAACAGTTACGCAAGAAAGTGGGACATGTGAAATGCTGCGCTCCCGACTAAAATGCAACGGACAAGATGTTAACGTAACCGTAATATATCGAAGCCCTGATTGTAAGGGAGCAGAATTCCTCCTGAGTAAGCTGACCCTCTGAACAGATAAATGCCAATGTCTAGTTGTAGGAGACTTCAACGCACCATCAGTCAACTGGGATAGACTAAAAACAAAAGCACGACGTAATTCTTTCGGCCACAGGTAACTGCAAACATCAATTTCCTTAGCCCCCATACAGCATATTAGGACACCAACCAGATATGATCATCAGCATGCTCCATCAGTTTTAGACTTAGCATTCTCACATACAGATGATGTATGCTTCATCCGGCACCTAGCATCCCTTGGTAAAAGTGATCACGCTGTGATCACCTTCAGATTCACAGCACACGTCTTGTACCAGGTCGACGC